ATACTCTGACTTTCCACTGTGTTCTCTGGAGCCTTGCTCTTTTACAGTGAACGTTCCTCCTACCTTCTGCTTTCACAGTAACCTTGGTATCCCTGAAAACACTGGATTCTCCACTGCCCTGTGCGATGGAGGCTGCTCCTTCTACTATTCCCCATGCACCTGAGAACCCCTTGTGAACTCCTTGTACTCCATGTAGGGTTACAAGCCACCCTATTTAAAAACAAAACAAAAACCTGTTCATTGCTCATGGCTGGTGCTCAAGAAATATTTACTAAATGAATAAGTGAGAAAATGAAATCTGGGGAATGGAACAAGAGGCAAGCTGAGGTTCAAGTCTCATTTTGGGGCTATATCCTTCCCAGTTTACCAGACACCGATAAGGGTACAGGACATGCTGAATGTCATCCTTGGGCGATTACTATTATTCCCACTTTATAGTGGGAAACTGAGGCTTAGGAGTTAAACAACTCACAGCGAGTAAGATATGGAACTGGGCTTTAAAAATTCATGTCTGACTTCACAGCCCATGTTTTTAACCTCCAAAAACCACTGCCCCCCTGAACAACAGAGCTTGCAGTTAAAAGGCAAGGTTTGTACAGCTCACTGCATCTAGGTAGCCCGACATTTTCAGTGCTCACAAGTGATTCTGTCATGCAGATATAAGCAGCAGGGACGTCTCAAAGGAAACAGAAAACGATTTATTCCACAAAGGCACGATTAAAAGAGTATCGTAAAGATAAAAAATCCAAAGCATCTATTTCTAGATTTTTTTTGAGTATCATAGGATATAGAGATATTTTAAGAGCATTTTTATATATAATAGGATCTCAAGAATAGAAAGCGCCTGAGGTGGAGAGATGATCCTCATGCAGCTATACCTGTGCTGCATTCTTAATTGGGGTCAGCCAACTATGATTTGTGGGTCAAATCCAACCCTCTATCGGTTTTTAGTATGGCCCTTGAGTTAAGAATGTCTTTTTGCTTGTGAAACTCTGATCTCATTTTACATTGATATTAAAACATTTTAACAGTGAAAAAGAAAATAATGTTTAAAAAATTTTTAATGGTTGGGGAGTATATTTCATGACATAAAAATTATATGAAATTAAAATTTCAGTGTCAATAAATAAAGTTTTATTGGAAAACAGCAATACTCATTTGCCTATATGTTGTCTATGGCTGCTTTCATGTCACAGCAGCAGAGCTGAGCACTGTAGTTGGGACAGAGACAATAAGGCCCCCCCCAAACCCTAAAATATTTACCATCTGGCTTTTTACAGTAAAAAGCTAACCAACCACTGTGACAGGTCATTTCCTCTGATTTATCTTCCAGTTCAGTAACTGCCTTCTGTTGTATCTAATCTACTGCTAAATCCTATTGCATTTTTGCCCTGGCCAGTGGCTCAGTTCATTTAAGTGTTGTCCCATACACCAAAGGGTTGCTAGGTTGGATTCCCAGTCGGGGCATATACCCAGGTTGTGGGTTCAGTCCCTGGTAGGGGTGCATATTGGAGGCAACTGATGTTTGTCACATCAGTGTCTCTCTCTCCCTCCCCCCTACCTCTCTCTCTCTAAAAAAAAAGAAATCAATAGGATTAAAAAAATAATAATAATTAATAAATAAATCACTGAGTTAATTCTGGTTACTGTGGTTTTCAACTTAGAAGTTCTTTCAAATCTAATATTTTACTTTTTATAGTTCCGTATTCCACGTATATAGCTTAATCTTGTCTTTTATTTTTTAACTATAGTACATACAGTACAATTATAGGAACTATAACTGCTTTATAAACTGTGTCTGGTAATCCCAATGTCATAAGTCTTTGGGAGTCCCTCTCTGCTCTCTCTTTCCTGGTTCTCACTAATGGAGCCTGATTCCTTGTGTGCTAGTTATTTTTTACTGTCAGCGGCTCACTTCCTTGAAAAGTTATCCGTGAGGAATTCATGTCTTTTCCCAGAAAGGTTTTGCGTTTGCTTCTGCCAGGATTTGGAGGCACTGCCAGTCTGAAACACCTTAAACTTAGAGTTCATGGATCACCTGAGGGATGAGAACTCTGGCTGTGAATGCCCCGTGTTTCGGTTCTTTTGCCTTACTGCCCTGATCCTCTCGGTGCTCTGGCAACCTTCCCTGCTGTCCTGGTCTGGGTGTGCAGGCTTAGTTCTAGGTCATCCTTATGTTGAGTCTTTTGGGATTCCAATTTAATGTCGCATGGACCAAAGATGGACATATGAAATATAACCGACCTGGAGGCTAGAATGAGGAGGTCGAACATTTCATCAGTGTTTCAAAAGAGGAGTTGAGGGAAAGTGAGGCAGAGGCAATATTTAAAGAGAAATGGCTGAATATTTTTTCAGGACATATAAATTCTTATACCTAAGAAGCTAAATAAATCCAATCAAAATAAATGAAAGCAAATTCTTACATTTGCATACTTATTCATACTTTATAGAACGCTCTCTTTTATTCCTCATTAAACCTTAGCACTAGGTACTGTTATTTACGCTTTTCATAAGGCAAAACTGGGATCAGACATCAAAAGTGAATTATCTAAGGTCCTTTAAATTAGCAGCAGGGGCAAAAGTCAAATTCAGTTCTGACCCAAGTTCAACTCATTTCCTATACTAGTACATTAGAAACGACATAGCAGAGAAGAATTTGTAAGGGTAGATCTGAATATCGCTAAGGAACCAAACCTCAAAAACAGAAACCCCCCCTCCCCTAACCGGTTTGGCTCAGTGGATAGAGCGTCGGCCTGCGGACTGAAAGGTCCCAGGTTCGATTCCGGTCAAGGGCATGTACCTTGGTTGCGGGCACATCCCCATTAGGAGGTGTGCAGGAGGCAGCTGATGGATGTTTCTCTCTCATCGATGCTGCTAACTCTCTAGCCCTCTCCCTTTCTCTCTGTAAAATATCAATAAAATATATTTTTAAAAAAACAAACAAAAACCAGAACCCCTAACTTGGAAACTTCTCCCTGGAAGCACGTAAAAACCTTTCCCACCTAACTGCGCTTTCTTCTGCAGGCAGCACTGGGCTGAGAAAGCCTTAGTAGTAAGAAAGAAAAGTCTATCTTGTACATTAAATTGTGAGTTAAATCAAACGAAGCCAAGCTGCCTCAAAGGGTTCGTGGAACCAGCCTGATACACAACAAAAAGCTACATACAGCCTACTGTATACCATCCAACGGTCAGGACAGCAGGGCACGGAGTCCCCCTAACCGCCCCCCCACCCCCCCGCCTTGCACTCTTGAAGGCAGTTTGAATACTGTAGTTACTGTATCCCACATCGCATGTCTTTTGTTCATCAGGAGTAATTACTACAACTTCCATTCTGGTGGCATTTCACTGGCTTATTAGCTTACACTTGATTTGTTTTTTGGCCCAGAGCACTAAATTAAGGCTTTTTTTAAAGTGAAGACTGACCTAGCCAGCGGCTCAGTGGGTAGAGCATCGAACCCTGCAGTCCACGGGTTCTATTCCAGTCAAGGGCACATACCTCGGTTGCAGGCTCAATCTCTGGTCCTGGTCGGGGTGTGTGCAGGAGGCAACCAATCGATGTGTCTCTTTCACACTGATGTTTCTCTCTCTCTCTCTGTAGCTCCCCCTCCCTCCACTCTCTCTCTAAAAAAAAAAAAGGAAAAATATCCTTGGGTGAGGATTAACAAAAAATTGAAATAATAAAATAAAAAAGGGAAGGCTGTGGCTTAATGAAGCCCCATTCTCCAGGGTGTTGCACGTAACTGACGTCTCTATTAGCTTGGTATAAAGAGCAGACCATTCTTCCCTCATGGCTGCCTGCACGACGTATAAAAGCTGGGACAATGACAACTCCTGAACTCACAGTACGAGGCACCAGAGCCAAGAAGCCAGATGCCAGGAAAAGAGGGCCAGATGCCAGACAATTCAGTGGGAAAACCAAAGAGCCCCAGATTCGACGTGTTAGGCAGGTGTGGTCAAGGCCTCATGCACGAGAGGAAGAGGAGGCACAGTCTGATCTTCCGTGTCTGTCTCATACAGGGAGAGGCCACAGGTATACTCAGGTGAGTAACAACAGAGAAAAGCCACCGGCAGTGTTGCAACCATGTATTGCACATCAACCACGTGAGAGGTCCTGTGCAGGGCATGGACACACATGGAGGACAGAGCCTGATCAAGGCTTCCTGATCTCGTCATCCACCTGTCACCCATCCTCACAGCCAAGTGTACAGTGCTTACTGAGCACGTAGTGAACATATGCCAGCACTGTCTAGGCGCTGGGGAGACCAAGAAGGCGAGAACAGGGGAGGATCTGGAAGGATTAGACACCAGTTACTCTGAAAGCCACTATGAATCAATTCATTTCAATTAAATCCTCATATGACAGAAGAAACCAGACTCAGAGTAGCTTGTCCCAAATCACACGGAGAGTAAATGGCAGTCTGGGATTTGAATGAAGCTTTGCCTGGCTCTGAGCCTGTGCCCTTAATAAAATAATAATCATTCCACAGTTAATTAAGTATAATGAGATAATTGGTGACGGAGGTAGAAAATTCACAGGAAACATGGAGAAAGAGATAATTTTGTATAAAAAGGAGGTCGTCTTTGAGTTTTCCTAGTGGACAAGCAAGGAAGGAAAATTTGAGGCACAGATAACAAACATATGCAAAGGCATTGGAAAACGGAGGGTATACCTGTGGGAGAACAACAGGAGGAAGACAGGGGCCTGATCACGGCTGGCTTTGCAGACCAGGCTGCAGAGCATCTTTGAGAGGCCACTGACTCCTGCTGCAACCCAATAACCCTCCAGTCTGGGAGCAGAAGCCTTTTTGGAGGCCTCCTTGTCCCTCAAACTCCTTGCAGTGGCTGCCTGTGCCAGCCAAATCTAAGGCCTCATGGACACCCACAATCCCATCCTCCGCAGGCCCCTGCAGACTCTAACGTACTCCAAAATTCTGCTGACAGACTGAGGACAGAGGCCCCTGGGAACCCAACAACCACAGGCGTTTTCTCATTCTACTCACAGTTTAGAGTCCAGCTTCAGGAGGAAGCCCAACCGATCATACTCTGAAAAAGAAAAGAAAGCAGAAAATATCACCTAAGGCAGGCCCCTGCTGACACTAGCAGACTGCATCCCCCAGACCCAGACCACGGGGACAGACAACTGCTCCAGAGAACAGATCAAATACACAGCCACAACCAAATTTATGTCACAAAACCCTCACTGACCACCTGTTCTGTGAAGGACCAGGTTCAAGCCAGATATTTACCAGGACGTCTAGGCTGACCAGTCCTCTGCTGGTTTGTGACTGCCTTCCTGTTTAAATGTAGGGCTTGAAACTTAAATTTAGAAAACCACAAAACCGGACCCCTGGAAAAGTAAGAGGGTCAGAAGTAATCTCTGCTTTCTCTAAGCTCTAAGCACAATTTTTGCTCAATCAGCACATTAACTATGGGGAGAAGATGTGGCAGCCAAGAGGTTCTCAAATCCATGTCAATGATTCTCTTCATAACAATCACAAAGAATTGATAGACCTGCCCTGGCTAGTGTGGCTCAGCTGGCTGGGCATCGTCCCATGCACTGAAAGGTTGCTGGTTCGATTCCCAGTCAGTCTGGGTTGTAGGCTCGATCCCCGATAGGGGGTGTGCAGGAAGCAGCTGATAGGTGTTTCACTCTCACACTGATGTTTCTCTCTCTCCCTCTCCCTTCCTCTCTCTCTAAACATAAATTTAAAAATCAATAAAAAAGAATTGATATATTTGATTACATGAAATAGGAAATTTAAAATAAAATCCAAAAACAAATTGATGTTTGTAAGAAATGATAAATTAATATTTTATTTAATTCTTTATGTCTTGCCTCATTTGAAAATGAAGTTGAAGTAGCTTTTAAAAAAACAACTGTATGAAGTACAGGTTTTGAAAAGAATAAATAAGGGAACCAAAACGTAAATAAGCATAGGAAAAATAATAAAATGCAGCCAGGACAAAAATACCCAAAGTGGATGTGCTGAGGTCCTCTGTGCTTGCCAGAGGAGGATTAAAGATCTGTTCCCCCAGATTTCTCACAGCTAAAACGAAATGCAAAGAATTGATACAAATGGTTTACAGTGTCCACAAATAAACCTGGAGAATCAGTTATTCCTGATACTAAGACTTGAAGGAATCCCGCTGTGTTCCCAAAAATATTGGTAGACGGAAAATACAGGAAGTGTCACAGAACCGTTTCTTATAACTTTGTTCAATGATTGCAGTGAGAGAGAGAGAGAGAGAGAGAGAGAGAGAGAGAGAGAGAGAGTGTGTGTGTGTAGAATGGCTTCACCAAAATAAGGGTTCTATGAATGCGGTTCTCAGCTGGCCTAGCTTCATATGAGGATAAAACAGAACACTTAAGACCAAACAACCACATGGAAAAGACTAGGCAGCAAGGCCTCGAGGAACTCAGACTTCAGTAAGCAATGAATGAGCACACAGGACAGTCCCACCTACTGGCAAGTCCCTCCCCGGAGTCATTCTGCAACCCGGGTTACGGCCACACTTGTGTGCTTTCATAAGCAGCTAAGCTGTGGTGAGAGAATAATTCCTCTTCTTAAAACTGAAGATCCCGACTAGGACACACAACTCAACAGAAGGCCTGCCTCCCAAGAGCACAGACTTGGCAAATGAAATCCTTTCCTCAAAATAGTTCTGGTTTTGCGCTAAATCAGATAAATGGATTAGAGGCTTAGCTCAATAATAATCAGAACTTAAACTAAACTAAAAACAAAAGAAGGTTTCAATTGAAAAACTAAACTAAAAACAAAATTTTCAAAAAAGTTAGTTTCCAAAGTTTAACAGTCTCAACAATCCTGTTGTATCATCCCCTGGAAAAGAAAACTTCATTAACTTGCCAAACACCTGTCGCTTTCCCCCTAGGTAGTCATAACCTTGTGGCAACTGTCCTGCTGTTGTTCCTCAGACCCGAGTGTTGACTCCCTTGGACCCGCTGGATGTAGGATGAATCCACACTTCGGCTGATTCCTTCCAGAAAGGCCAGAGAATGTTTTCTCCCTGTTGCAAACTCAAATGTCAGGGGGCAAGGAAGAACATGAGATAAACAAGGGAAGCTGGAGAATGTAATACCATCCCATAGCAGCTCACATTATTTATTTTGGTTGAATTAAAAACAAATTGTTGAAATGTCTTATTTTTAACCACATATTTTCTGTATGGTAATCATATTGATGGTTTAGTTTGCCATGGCATCTTTTTTTTTTTTTAAATATATTTTTATTGATTAAGATATTACATATGTGTCCTTGTCCCCACGTTACCCTCTACCCCCCCCTCCCCCCCGTTGTCCGTGTCCATTGGTTAGGCCTATATGCCTGCATGTAAGTCCTTTGGTTGATCTTTCCCCCTTACCCCCACCCTCCCCTACCCTCCCTCCAAAGCCCGACAGTCCAATCAATGCCTCTCCGTCTCTGGATCAGTCCTTGTTCATCAGTTTATGTTGTTCATTATATTCCACAAATGAGTGAGATCATGTGGTATTTATCCGCTCTCCAGTTCCATCCATGCTGTGGCAAATGGTAAGAGTTCCTTTTTCTTCTTCCTCTTCTTAAAGAATACCTTTCAGCATTTCATATAATGCTGGTTTGGTGGTGATGAACTCCTTTAGCTTTTTCTCATCCGTGAAGCTCTTTCTCTGACCTTCTATTCTGAATGATAGCTTTGCTGGATAAAGTAATCTTGGTTGCAGGTTTATGCTATTCATCACTTTGAATATTTCTTGCCACTCTCTTCTGGCCTGCATGGTTTCTGTTGAGAAATCAGCTGACAGTTGTATGGGTACTCCCTTGTAGGTAACTGACTGTCTTTCTCTTGCTGCTTTTAAGATTCTCTCTTTGTCTTTTGCTCTTGGCATTTTAATTATGATGTGTCTTGGTGTGGTCCTCTTTGGATTCCTTTTGTTTGGGGTTCTCTGCGCTTCCTGGACTTGGAAGTCTATTTCTTTCACCAGGTGGGGGAAGTTTTCTGTCATTATTTCTTCAAATAGGTTTTTAATATCTTGCCCTCTCTCTTCTTCTGGTACCCCTATAATTCGGATGTTGGTGCGCTTGAAGTTGTCCCAGAGGCTCCTTACACTATCTTCATATTTTTGGAATCTCTTTTCTTTTTTCTTTTTCAGTTGGGTATTTTTTGTTTCTTTGTATTTCAAATCTTTGACTTGATTTTTGGGATCCTCTTGTCTGCTGTTGGATCTCCGTAGATTATTCTTTATTTCAGTCAGTGTATGCTTAATTTCTAGTTGGTCCTTTTTCATGTCCTCCATGGTCTCACTGTACTTATTGAGGGACTCATTAAATTTATCAGCGGTTTCCATAAAATTCTTGAAAAACCTTATAAACGTGGCCTTGAACTCTATATCCAGTCGTTTGCTTTCCTCCATTTCTGCCATTTGTGACCTGTTTCTTTGTCTCCGCATTTTGGCTGCTTCCCTGTGTTGATAGAGTGGCTTTGTGTGCTAGGTGTCCTGTAGGGCCCAGTGGCTCAGCCTCCCCAGTTACCTGAGGTGGACACTCTTGGTGCACCCCCTCGTGGGCTTTGTGCACAGTCTTGTTGTAGCTATGCCTTGGTTGTTGTAGGATCACTGGGAGGAATCGACCTCCAGGGCAATTGGCAGCGAGAATCAGCTGTGTCTGCAGTGGGAGAACTTCTGTGCTGGAGACACCCTTCTGGGGCAAGACTTGCTTCAGTGGGGCTTTGGTGCTCACTGAGACTGCACCCTGAGTGTGTCCCTTATGGATCTACGAAGAGAGCTGCAGATTCCCCTTCCTTTTTTTTTTTTTTTTTTTGGAGTTTGGAAGTGCCCTGATGATGCTCACCTGTGTAGCAATGCAAGCCGCTGTGGGGCCTTGGGCCTTCTCCTGGAAGCTCTGGGTCTATCTGGCCCAGCTGTGGTTAGGTAATTACAGGTTGCAAATGGCCGGGGCATTCATATGCAAAAGCCTCTGCCGCAGCCTGGGCGGGGCGGGGTCTCAAGAAATCAAAGGGCGGAGAAAGCAGCTATGGCGGAGCCTCAGTCCCGCCCTAAGGAGTCACGAGTCCCAGTGTCCCGGCAATGGCTGCAAGCACCTCTGAGGGAAAGCTGCTCTCAAGCTCGCCCGCTGCTAGACAGTCCAGTGTCTCCCCGTATGAGTCCTGGGTCCCCAGAGACTTCCCGGAACCGGATTTCAGAGCCGTCGGGAGCTTGTGTCTCCCTCCGGATTCAAAAAGACAGCCGCGTCCTCAGGTGCCAGACCCTTTCCGCGCGCGAGCCCCCGTACCTCTGCACTCCACCTCCGCAGCTCCTCCCGCTCGCAGTGTGCTTTTCTTTCCTTCTAGTTGTAGAATTTACACTCAGCCAGCCCTCCTGTAGTTCTGGATGGTGTCCACCTTGTGTTTTTGATGCATTTATCGATTGTTGTGGGAAGCAGCAATTTCCCGGTGTTTATCTATGCCGCCATCTTAGTTTCTCACCTGCCATGGCATCTTAAGTTGTGTTTTACACACACACACACACACACACACACACACACACACACACACAAATTGCAAAGTGTTCTTACGTGTTTAATATGCATTCTTTTTAAAAAATATATATTTTATTGATTTTTTACAGAGAGGAATAGAGAGTTAGAAACATTGATGAGAGAGAAACATCAATCAGCTGCCTCCTGCACACTCCCCACTGGATATGCACCCGCATCCAAGGTACACGCCCTTGACCGGAATCGAACCTGGGACCCTTGAGTCCGCAGGCTGATGCTCTATCCACTGAGCCAAACCGGTCAGGGCTAATATGCGTTCTTTAAGAAATTATGTCCCCTCCTGTTTTCTCTCTTTTGTTAAGAGACATGATGACCAGAAATATTTCATTTATTCTTTAATTTAAGAAAAAGTATCTGTGTGGCTCAATGATGATAAATGGGGACTGACACTGGCTTCAGCCAAGGGGGAAGGGCGTCCATTTGGAGACCGCACGCCTTGTCTAAGGGGCAGCCTCCGCCAGCTCCAGCTAACAGCGGACTGTGCCAGGCGGGCCC